CCACACCTTTATCTCCGTGGTTATGTCATCTGTCTGTGGCTGCTCTGATCCTTACCCTGCTTGGCCTCACCCAAGATGGTGGCTCCAGAAGTGGCTGGGCATCTTGAACTAGAAAGCAATGGATTTCTTGCTTCTGCTACAAATTCCCCTACCTATAAGCCTTCCAACCTTCTAAATATTCCTTTATATGTGGTTCAGAGATCTGGAAGCATCCCCTGAGCCTGCTTGGTCTGGTATTCTGTATTGTTGCTGACGGAGCTACTCACTGCATTTCTACCTGATCTGCCATTGTTTGTTCTTGTGTGCCTTATTATTTTGTCTTGCATATTTAGGTTCATGATTCAGCTACATTTGAGTTTTGTGCATGATATAAAGTAATGGTCAAGTTTTTTTCTTTCCTTTTTAAAATGGATATTTGATTACCTGTTGAAAAGACTATCCATTCCCAATGTCACTGTAATATCACTTTTTGCATAAATCAAATTTCCATGTAAGTTTGATTTACGTCTGTTTCTGGGCTTTCAGTTCTGGTCAGTTGGTCTAGTTGTTTATCTTTGCAATGGCACACACATACATACCAATAAACCATACAACTTTCCTAATTACTGTAGCTTTAAAGTAAATCTTGATATTTGATATAGAGCAAGTCCTCCCATCCAGCTCACCTATCATCAACAGCATCTTAGCTATTTTGTCTCTTTGTCTTTTTATATAACTTTTAGAATCAGTTTGGCAATGTGCACACTTATCCACACACAACACATGTACACACACAAAGAGGTTGCAATTTTGATTGAGATTACATTGTATCTAGGTCAATTTGGAAAGAACTGGTAACTTTAGAATACTGAGATTTGAAATTCATTAAAGTGATACAACTCTTCACTTATTTAGATTTCTTATATTAATGCTATTTTATAATTTTCTTTATATAAATCTTGCATATCTTTTGATAAATTCAGAGTGATGCCTAAGTAAATGGTATTAAAAAAACCTTCCATTCTCTGCTGCTGGCATGGTTGTGGTTATATATGCTGTGGGGTCGGTTCAGACTCATAGCGACCCCGTACACGGTTTCTGAGCCTGTAAATCTTTATGGGAATAGAAAGCCTCACCTTTCTCCCACAGAACACCTGGTAGTTTCGAACTGCTGACCATCAGGTTAGCAGCCTAATTTGTAACCACTATACTATCAGAACTCCTGGTTGCTGGTATAGAGACATACAATTGGTTTTTACGTACTGATTTTAATTCTAATAACGATGCTTAAGCTTTTATGAATTCTCATAACATATTTATAGATTCTCTCAGATTTTCTAACTATATAGCACCTGAAAATAATTATATTTTTGACTCTTTCTTCTTTTCCAAACCTAAAATCTTTCATTTCACTTTCTTGTCTTATGTGCTGCACAGGACCTCCAGGATAATGTTAAATATAAGTGGAGAGTGTAGACATCTCTTGTCATGTTTCCAATTTCAAAGGAAAAACATTTTTTCAAAAAATTTTTTTCAACTCTGATGTCTTCTTTGTCTTATTGTTAGTTTAGAAGTACTTTTCCAAATTTCCAGAAATATGAGCATTTTCAAATTATCTTTAATTACTGACTTCTAGCTTAATTATAAGGAGCTCTGGTAGCGTAGAGGCTATGAATCGGGCTGCGAACCTTAAGGTCAGTAGTTCGAAACTACCAGCTGCTCCACGGGAGCAAGATGAGGCTTTCTGCTCCCGTAAAGATTTACAGCCTTGGAAACTCTGTACAGGGTCGCTATGGGTCAGAACTGACTCGACAGCACATAACTACAACAACAACAAGCTTAATTATATTTTGATCACTTAACATATTATGTGTGATTTTGGTCCTTTGGCATTTGTTGAAATTTGATTTGTGACCCATTAGTAATCAATTTTGGCAATGTTTCCTATGTTTTTGTATATGATATGTAAACTGCAGGTGTAGGCTGTAATATTCTATATGCCCATGAAGTTCACTTATTGATCATGCTGCTAATATCTTCTGTATTATTACTAATTCCCTATGAGATTCTAACATGCATTGAAAGCTGAGTTAGATTCTTGGATTACCAAAGTTGACTCTGCCCATTCAAACATGGTAGGACAAAAGGAATGTCTGTGATGGGGCAGTTGGGAGTCAGTGCCAACCTACAGATGTTTTTACTTCACCAGAAAATTTGGAGACCCGATGTGCAGTGTTTGAGAGTTAGTCCATCAGGGGCATCTGGCTTGAGTATTGGCTTGCTCACTTATTAGCTTTGTGCCTTGAGCAAGTGCCTTAAACTCTCTGAACTTTAATTTTTTGTTTTTGTTTAATAAATGGGATATACTTACCTCTGTCATATAAATTGGATGTCTATCTAGTCCTAAAATTGTTATGGAGTACTGATGTGGCACTGTAGGATAAGCACTGGATTACTCACTGCAAGGTTGGCAGTTCAAACCTACCAACTGCTCCTCTGAAACCCTATACAGGGTCACAATGAGTCAGAATCCACTCAGTGGCACTTAGTAACAACAACAACGTGAGACAGAGAACAGGTATAAAATTACTCTTGGAGAAGTTAAAAAAGTAAGCAATTTCCTTTTTATCATCTCAACACCAGTAGAGAATTTACACTATAGAAAAAAAATCTTAATTATTAATAAATGTGAGAACTATATTTTTGACTGTGTCTAAGGATACTCTCTGTAGCTTAGAACGTTTTTACTTCTTTTTCCCACTTAATTAAAGGCTTCAGGGAAAGAAGTTGGCTATATTCATTAAGACAAGGTAGTAGTACTACATTGGGAAAAATAATATTTTGTGACATTTGCTCAGAGGACCAGAAATATGAGAGCTATAAAAACTGAGACATAAGCAGTATAGTTTAAAAAAATTAAAATCTAATGAGGTGAAATACAAGGGTTAAAGGAGATAGAGGTAAATACTGTTATATATATAATCATATATATATATGATTATATATACATAATCATATATGTAACAATGTTTTAGAGCACAAGGTTGGTTTGAACCACAAGGTTGGCAGTTCAAACTCACCAGCTGTTCCTTGGAAACCCTATACAGGCTTGCTATGAGTCAGATCTGACTCAATGGCACTTACCAACAATAGGGTTTTTAATAACCTCATATGCATGTGAAAGCTGAACAATGAATAAAAAGACCATAGAAGAATCGATACATTTGAGTTAAGGTGTTGGAAGATAATATTGAAAGTACCATGGACTGACAGAAGAACAAACAAATCTGTGTTGGACGAAGTATAGCCAGAATGTTCCTTGGAAGCCAGGATGGCCAGACTTCATCTCTCATACTTTGGACATATTGTCAGGAGGGACCAGTCTCTGGAGAAGGAAATAATGATTGGTAAAGTAGAGGGTCTGTAAAAGAGGAAGACCTGCAACAAGATGGATTGGCACAGTGGCAGTAGCAATGGGCTCAAGCACAGCAATGATTGTGAGGTTGGGAGAGGACTGGGCAGAGCTTCATTCTATTGTGCATAAGTTTGCTATGAGTCGGAACCTACTGGATGGAACCTAACAGCAACAATATGGGTAGATACATAGAGAGACACACAGGCTGAATGGGTATGAGATAGAGAGTGGCAGTATATGCACATATATATAAGGGTTTGACAGAGGATATTTGTATATGGGTATTAACCTTCACTCTAAACACATCTGTGAATGCAGTGGAACATTAAAGGGACAAAGTGACTAAAACTTCTTAGACATTATCACACACCTTGAGGCAATGAGTTGCTGGGTCAGGGGGCTCAGGACTATAGTCTAGGGGGACAGCATGGTTAGTTGACATAACATAGTCCACCAAGACAATGTTCTATATCCTACTTTGGTGAGTAGTAACTGAGATCTTAAAAGCTGATGAGAGGCCATCTAAACTGCAACTATCGATCTTTCCATGGGTGGAAGAAAGAAGAGCGATGAAATTGAAGATGCTTGGAATCAATTAGTCCAATGGACTGATGGAACATGTGACCATCAGTCTCCACAATTCTGAAACCAGAAGAACTAGATGGTGCCCTGCTACCATTACCACCTGCTCTGAAAGGGATCACATTGGATAGAGTGTGGAACAAAACTAAAAATTATAAAAAAGAGCCAGCTTACTGTTCAAAAAGAGACCCAAGGAACTGGAGAGACTATTGCCCTTGGCTACCCTTCAGGTTCAGAATGGAACTCACCTTTCTGGCCCCATTTTTAAACCAAGTGGTATATAGGTGTAGGTGAGGGAACAACACTAGTAAGGTATGCTTACAATGGAATAGTCATCCATTCAAAATCAGAAGGGCAACATTTATCTAAAGACAAAGTTCAGAAGGGTTGGGAAGGAGAGTGGAATGGAAATAGGAACCAGAGGTTGGAAGTGGGATAACTGTTGTTACATGGAGGAAAATGCAGTCATAGAGATGCAAGAAAGTATCTGATTTGTTGACTGTAAAACTGATAATCTATCTGTTCTGCAAACCTTCACTCAATTCACTATAAAATGTTTCAAAAAATTTTTAGAGCCTAGAATATACTTCAATATTTTCATTTTTCAAAATTATCCAGGGAAAATTTATTTATAAACCCCTAAATGCACAAACATCCCAAATCCAGACCAACACTAGAAGCCACTCAGCTGGATCTTACAAACATGCACCTACCTCATTTTTTTGTGTCATGACTTGGGTTAGTGAAAAGTTTGAAGACAAAGAAATGTTATTTTCAGCACAGATATTCTCCCATTGATTCACAATCAGCTCACGAAATTCTGCTGTTAATACTCCACTGTAGACAATGCAAGCTGCTGAAATAAGTATGTCACCCAAAATTCCTCTCAACTTCTTGTCTGTTTGATTTATTGTTTCTTGCCATCGAATCTAAATGGTAAAATAAAAAATGAGTTATTTATATTTTATATGTAACATCAGACATGTATTGAGACATTAAGAAAAATGAAAGGTCTCCAAGCTTAATCTGTTGTTGCAATTACTGTTTTGGGGGCTGTGAGTCACCAGGTCAGCAGTTGGAGCCCACCAGCCACTCCTAGGGAGAAAGATGAAGTTTTCTGCTCCCGCAAAGATTTAAAGCTTCAGAAACCCTTTACAGGCTGCTATGAGTCAGACGACACTTAACAACTTAAAACAACAATTACTGTTTTCAAGTTGTAGTTGAATAAAAACTAATGTTTTTGTTGTTTAGTGCCATCGAGTTGGTTCCGACTCATGTTTGAAAATGAACAGCTTCTGAGGGAAACACTATTTTCATTCCTGGATTTGTCAGTGGTGTCATATTTGCTAAGATTGATAGATAACCACTTCAAATCCTTTGTGTAATAAAGCTGGATACATTTTAAAAAATGATCAGTTCATTACATTATTTCTAATGTTCAATAATAACAACTGTTGTTGTTAAGTGCCATTGAGTTGGTTCCAACCCATTGCGATCCTGTCTAGGATTTCCAAGGAATGGCTGGTGAGCTTGAACCGCCCACCTGTGGTTCAAACTGATTCTTCAGTCCAGTCCATTAACCTACAGCGCCACACCAGGCCTCCAATAATAACAATAACCAGCATTTATTGATTCCTTACTTGCTGTACACTTTACTTTGAAAATCTCATTTGATATCTTCAATAACTCTATTGTTGTTGTTGTTGTTGTTGTTAAATGCTGTCGAGTCGGTTCCGACCCATAGCGACCCTGTACAGGGTTTCCGAGGGTGTAAATCTTTACGGGAGTAGAAAGCCTCATCTTTCTCCCGTGGAGCGGCTGGTAGTTTCGAACCGCTGACCTTAAGCTTCGCAGCCCGATTCGTAACCACTATGCTACCAGAGCTCCTTTCAATAGCTCTATTAGGAGATGCTATTGGCTTCATTTTAAGGTGAAGAAATTGAAGCTCAGAGAAGTTAAGCAAGTTGTTCAAGATTACAAAGCTTTTGAGGGGCATAGCTGGGCTCTGAACGCATTCTCCAGCTCCAGAGCTCCTGTTCTAAGTCACTGTGCTCTACTGCCTCTTTCCTCAACCATGTATGTGCTTGACTGGCCAATGAATAAAAGCACGCTGAGCAAGAATCCTCTCTTTTGGAAGCTTAACATTTGGAGTAATGCTGGTGGGCCACTGCCTTTGGGCATATATGGAGCCCTCAGGGATATCATCAACTTCTGAAAGCTGTGATCTCTCTGTGTTTGGCCTGACTACATAATCCCTCCTGTTTGGTTCGCGAGTCTGCCATGCTGTTGTTGTTAAATGCTATTGAATCTCTCTGACTTATAGCCACCCTGTAAGGGTTTCTAAAAAGGAGTGGGTGGTGGGTTTGAACCACTGGCCTTGCTGTCAGCAGTCTAGTGCTTATCCCACAGTGTTTGATTTAAACAATCAAACCAAATTAAAAATAACTTGAGAATTTTGTAACATCCCTTGAGTAAGGTATGGTATGACTAAACCAAGATTCTAGCCAGCTCAAGTATACAGAAGGTGGACACAACAGAAGAGTGGTACAAAGGTAAGATAAAAAGGGTCTGAAGTTTGACAGGATACAATAAATTTATATTTTCTTTCCTCAGGACATCACCTCCCTTTTGGCTTTACTTATGCTTTATATACACAGCTTGTGTTGCTTCTGTGCTTGTTGTTGTTAAGTGCTGTCGAGTCAGTTCCGACCCACAGAGACCTTGTATAGGGTTTCCAAGGAGCAGCTTGTGAGCTTGAACCACTGATCCTGTGGTTCAAACGACTTTACAGTCCAGTGCATTAGCCCACAGCGCCACACCAGGACTCCTTCTGTGCTTAGAAAGGGAAAGGTCAGGATATACTCTTTGAAAGGTTTGCTTATGACCTCATCAGACAAAAATATGCTAAGGTTTTATGAACAAAAGGAAATAACCTCTGATCCTTGTATTCTGTAATCTCTGTTTTAAGACTACCTGACCAGGATACATTTATTGTATCCAAATAGGATTACTGGTCTTAATAGGAAATTGGATTGCAATATAGCTTTAGGAGGCATATGATATAGCCTGCAGTAAAAATTATTTTGGGGTTTTGAAGTCTATATCAAACAAGGGAAGTCATGCCTTCTCATCTTCCAGAGCACTTAGTAAGACAGATGCACATTGTAAGCGCTTCGTGGCTAGTTTTCTCCGGTTTGCTAGCAGTATTTTTTCAGTAATAATATCTTTGTAGGTTGCTTGCAAAGACAGCAAATGTTCTTCAATCTGAAAGACAATTAATTTGTTATTAAGACAAAACTGATTTTGCCTTAAGAGTTTATCTGTCATTTATATAAATAGATTATTGTAACTACTTAATTTTTGCATCCTAGAAACTCTTCCTGGAAAGATGGAATCTATTACAATATATATGTTGTTGTTATTGAACTTTCAAACCCCAGGTATACACTGAGTAGATCAGAGGAACTGATGAGTTTAGAAATTAGATGGATAGCATGAAGACACAAATTATTCCTAGGATGTCATCTGAAAATGTCATCTATTTTCATGAATAGTCAATAAGATAACTTCCTTAAATTCCTACTTATCTTGGTAACTTTCCTGCTCAGAAACATTTGGTGAATTCTTAAAGAAATCATTGCCTAAGGATATAGTTCCACCACTTACCTGTCAGTTTGTCACACTGTGGTGGCTTACGTGTTACTGTGAATCTGAAGCTACCAATCGGGTCACCCATGGTAGCAAGGTTTCAGCTGAGCTTCCAGACAAACACAGACTTGGAAGAAGAAGAGATGGACTATTTTAGAATATTTAGTTACTGAAAACTTTATGAAGAGCAGTGGCACACTGTCAGCACCAGAATATTGAATATTGAAATATGATGAAGAGCACCAGAATATTGTCAGATACAATGTCAGAAGATGAGCCTCTCAGATTGGAAGTTACTCAAAATACGACTATGGAAGAGCTGCCTCCTCAAAGTAGAGTTGACTGTGAAGACGCAAAATGGGGTAAACCGTCAGGTCTGTCATTTGCTGATGGGGCACAATTCAAAATGAAGAGACACAGCTGTAAACACTCATTAATAATCAGAACATGGACTGCATGAAGTATGAATCTAGGAAAATTGGGAATTGTCAAAAATGAAGTGGAACGTATAAGCATCAGAATCTTACGCATTAGTGAGCTGAGATGGATTGGCATTGGCCATTTGGAATCTGACATCACATGGTTTACTATGCCAAAAATGACAAAATGAAGAGGAATGGCATTACATTCATCAGACAGAACATATCAAGAGCTGTCTTGAAGTACAATGCAGTCTATGATAGGATAAAATACATATGCCTACAAGGAAGACCATTTAATGCCACTATTATTCAAATTTATGCACCAATCACTAAAGTCAGTGATGATGAAATTGAAGAATTCTAACAATTTCTCCAGTCTGAAATTGATCAAACATGCCATTAAGATGGATTGATAATCGCAAATATTGTAAACAAAGAGGAAGGATCAGTAGTTGGAAAATATAGCCTTGGTTATAGAAATAATATTGGAGATTGTATGATAGAATTTAGCAAGATCAATGACTTCTTCATTGCAAATACCTTTTTTAAACAACATAAAATATGACTACACACCTGGATCTTACCAGATGGAATGCACAGAAATCAAATTAACTACATCTGTGGAAAGAGATGGTGGAAGAAGTCCATATCGTTAGTCAAAACAAGGCTGAGGGGCAGAATGTGAAATAGACCATTAACTGCTTATATGCAGGTTTAGGCTGAAGCTGAAGGAAATTAAAACAAGTTCACAAGAGCCAAAATATGACCTTGAATATATCCCACATGAATTTAGAGATCATCTGAAGAACAGCTTTGATGCATTAGACACTAATGACTGAAGACCGGAAGAGTTGTGGAATGTCATCGAGAACATCATACAGGAAGAAAGAAAAAGGTCATTAAGAAGACAAGAAAGAAAGAAAAAAAACCAAAATGGATATCAGAAGAAACTCAGAAAGATGCTCTCTAGCAGAGAGATGCTAAAGCAGATGGAAGAAAAGAGGAGGTAAAAGAGCTGATCAGAACTTTTCAAAGGTGAGCTTGAGAAGACAAAGTCAAGTATTATAATGAAATGTGCAATGTGCAAAGACCTGGTGTTAGAAAATCAAAAGGGAAGAATATGCTCAGCATTTCTCAAGCTGAGGAAATTGAAGAAAAAATTCAAGCCTCGACTTGAAATATTGAAGGACTCTATGGACAAAATATTGAATGATGCAGAAAGCATCAAAAGAAGATGGAAGAAATACAAAGAGTCACTGTACCAAAAGGAAATGGATGATGTTCAACCATTTCAAGAAGTAACATATGATCAAGAGCCAATGATCCTGAAGGATGAAGTCCAAGGTGCATTGAAGGCATTGACAAAGAACGAGGCTCCAGGAACTGATGGAATACAAATTGAAATCTTTCAATAAACTGATGCGGCACTGGAGGCACTCACTCATACACGCTAAGAAATTTGGAAGACACTACCTGGCCAAGTAACTGGAAGAGATCCATATTTTTGCCCATTCCAAACAAAGGTGACCCAATGGAATGTAGAAATCTATGGGCAACACATTAATATAGCATGCAAGTAAAATTTTGCTAAAAACAATACAAAAACAGCTGTAGTCATACATTGACAGAGAACTTCAGAGGTTCAAGCCAGAATTAGAAGAGGACAAGGAATGAGGGCTATCATTGCTGATGTCAGAAGGATTTGGCTGAAACCAGAGAAAAACAGAAAGACGCTTAACTGTGCTTTATTGACTATGCAAAGGCTTTTGATTGTGTGGATCATGACAAGCTATGGACAACATTGTGGAGAATGATTATTCTGGAACACTTAATTGTGCTCATGAGGAACCTGTACATAGACCAAGAGGCAGGTGTAACTGTAAATGCTGTTGAGTCAGTTCCAACTGATAGGATTTCCAAAGAGTGACTGGTAGGTTTAAACTGTTGACACACACACACACATACACACATGTATAAACAAATAAATAAATAAAATGGGAGTGTGGCATCTCCATAAAAGAAGAACTGGGCTGCAAATCACAAGGTCTGTGGTTCAAGCCAGCTGCTCTATGGGAGAAAGATGAAATTTTCTTCACCCTTGAAGATAAAACCTCTGAAAACCTACACAGGACAGCTATGAGTCAGACCGACTTGATGACACTTAAAAAAATGACATATATATTAAATATGTTACTCTGTTGAAAATATCTATCAATTTCAGCAAAAGCAAAAAAATATCAAAACAGAAGACAAAACCTCACAGTGCTATACTTTTGGCATGCTTATTCCAATGATTTTTTTATTTATTCCCAGTTCAATTAAAGTAATTATGCAGCTATTTTCTCTTTTATACATTATGTCATTCATGTCTGTTTGCCCATTCCCCCTCTCCCTTCTCTTGGCTACTTCAGGGAAATCTCCCTTCCTTGTTACTCATGATGTAAAATATTTAAATATCAAAGTGCAAAGCCTATTGATTCAATGAAACACATGAATTGTCTATTATATGGCACACATTGCAGTCTCCCAAGGTAATGTTTCTGATGTTCAGATTTAATATGATCTGGGATAATTTCCCACCCGTCCCCTAAGTTTCCTAGATTTTTCAGGAACATTTTTATGTTAAGACCCAGGTAAACAAAAAGATATTTTAAAAATAGAAGACAGTACATAACTGAATGAAAGTTAAACCTCTAAGAGAAGTTGAAAACCAGTGGAGTTAGTAACTAAACTCAAGCATACAATTTAAATGTACTTCTTTGGGTTTAATGAGTAAAAATGCTAGAAGCTTCTCAAGTGTGTGATTGAGAGGTGGAGGGAATGCAGAGTATTAGTGAGTGAGTGTCTGACTGAAATTTACAGTTAATTTTCTCCCTTTCATTTAATAACAAAAACAAATTGATTATATTTTGCATGTTAAAAGAAACTGAGCTGTGTTATCTTAGTTTTCTCTAAGTAGCTTACTCTGATTAGCTTTGTCATTATATTATTACTGGACTGGAAATAGGAAATTCCAGTTTTAAGCAGGTATGGGGACAAAGTTGATGTTCTATTAAATAAACAATATGATTGTCTATTTTAAAAAAAGCAAACCAAACCAAATTGATTACATTATAAACAAACCTTTACTGGATAAATATATAAAATACTAAAAAAAAGAAAAAAGAAAACCACACAAAAATTATGGGCAGCAGGAGAACAAGTTGTGTTGTTGTTAGGTGCCATTGAGTGTGTTCTGAATCATGTATAACAGTCCTGCACCATCCTCACAATTGTTACGTTTGAACCCATTGCTGCTGTCACTGCGTCAATCCGTCTCATTGGGGTCGTCCTGTTTTTTTGCTGACCCTCCACTGTGCCAAGCATGATGTCCTTCTTCTGGAACTGATCTCTCCTGACAACATGTCCAAACTACAAGAGACCAAGTGTCACCATCCTAGCTTCTAAAGAGCATTCTCTTTGTAATTCTTCCAAGACAGATTTATTTGTTCTTCTGACAGTCCATGATACTTTCAATATTCTTCTCCAACGCTATAATTCAAATGCATTACTTCTCCTGCCAACTTATTCATTGTCCAACATTCACATGAATATGAGGCAATTGAAAATACCATGACTTGGGTCAGTGCATCTTGGTCCTCAAACTGACATCTTTGCTCTTTAATACTTTCAAGGGAGCTTTTACAGCAGATTTGACCAATGTAATATTATTTGATTTCTTGATTGATGCTTCCATGAATGTTGGGTGTGTATCCAATAAAAATTAAGTTTCTGACAACTTCAATCTTTTCTTCATTTATCATGACGCTCACAATCCAGTTGTGAGGATTTTTGTTTTCTTTACACTGAGGCTATAATCTTTGGTCTTTACCATTACATATTTTATGTTCTCTTCGATTCCAGCAAGCAAGGTTTGGGGATAGGGTTCTACCCACACCTTCCTATCCCTTATCAACTTTGTCCTTAGGTAAATATTGTCCTTTTGATTTTGAACTACTGACCATTCCATGATGAGCAGACCTTACTAGAGTTGTTATCCCCTTTACATATGTATCTACTTCTTGGTTGAAAATTGGGGCATGAGGATGAGTTCCTTTCTAGACCTGAAGGGTTGTCAAGAACCATAGTCTCAGTATTTTTTAAAATAAGCTTGAGCTTTGTTCCATAGTTTCTCGTATTCTATCTGGGACCTTCTAATGAGAGCCCTTTCAGAACAGTTGGTATTGGTGGTCGAGCACCATCTAGTTCTTTTTGTCTCTTAGTCGTGGAGAATGATGTTATGGTGTTTACAGAACATAGCTTGACACTGGGTAAGCCTTTGGAAGTGAACCTTGGTGGCATATTGGTTTAAGTGCTTGCCTATGAACCAAAAGTCAGTGGGGTTTGAACCCACCAGCTGCTTGGTGGGAGAAAGATGTGCCAGTATGCTTCTGTAAAGGTTTATAGTCTTGGAAAACCTAGGGAGCAATTAGTTCTATTCTGACCTGTAGGGTTCCGATGAGGCAGAATCGATTTGATAGCAATGGGGTAGAAGCCTTTGGTAGACTAAAGTTCTAAAGCTCTCCTGGGATTAAACTGATAAAATAGCTACTTAAAATACCTTGAGACAATTATAATTATGTATTTAGTGTTTTGCTATGCTGCAAGTACTAACAAAGATATATATATATATATATATATATATATTACTTATCTTAATTAATCGTTACAATACTCTTCAGGACCCATATTAACATCTCCATTTTAACTCTAAGAGATTAGCTTTACTGACATAATGATCTTCTTGAAATGTTTTTGTTTAGTTCCTAAAGGTATCCAAAGTTTAACAACGAAAACATTTCTTACCATTTGTAAACCTCTTTGTTTCTCCGCCAACCTTTGTCTTGCAATTTGAAGGACATTTTGAGCTTCAGTTACTTGAATTTGTTTAGGGCCTATCACCTTAAAAAGGAGATCACAAGAGTTAGGCTTAAAAAAAATATTAAGCTTCCTGTTAAAAATAGCACTTATGTATGGGAGATAAATGTTCCTAAATTTATGGGTACAAAAGGCATCTACTGTAGCTTATTATGGTAAAACATATTAAGATGAGCAAATAAAAAAATAAACAGCCTGGTTGTCATAAATGCAGTAATTAAATACCTGACATCTACATGAATTATAATAATGTTTGATTAAAGTGGTTTTCATCAGGTGTTGTTTTCCATAGAATTTCATTTGAGCATTGTTAATTAAAAATGATTTGTGGGACTTTCATATGCTATTTTCAAACCGTTACAGATATTTAGGAGGAAAAGCATACCTTCTGTACTTCATGGTAGTTAGTCAAAGCTATAACCCACTGGCACATAGAGCAACAAGCAACAGAAACCAGAGCAATCTTGTTTGGATTGAAATCAGGTAAGCTTAAAATTTTTTTCAGCTTCATAAAAGCCTAGAGAGAATACAGTTCATGTATTACAAGAGAAAGAAATAGTATAGATCTGTTGTTTAATCTACATTCTAATGAATTTCTTTTTCATAGCAGAAAATCCCCACTACTCTTTACAACATGCCTGGTGTGGTGCCATCAGATCAACACCAGACTGTGAACCACAAGGTCAGCAGTTCAAACCCATCAGCTGCTGCTCCTCAGAAACCCAACACAGGGTTGCTATGAGTTGGAACCAACTCGATGACACTTAACAACCACAACGCCTCTTCACAACAGCTGGATCAAATATACACCTGGGTGAAAAAACAGCCCCGGTACTAGTAATTTTTATAAGATGAGGGGAATATCCTTTATTAAATACATCTGGTTCTTGCTATTGGTAACGTAGTTTTTACCATCGGTTTAATAAAGAAATTTCACTTTAGAGCAAAACAACAGCAGCATCTAAAAGCCCCTATGTTACCTTTCTCCTGCATTGGGGAATTTGGAATATGAGGAGATCTGACATCGTCTGTATACTTTAGGTGTGAGGTAACTAGGAACTATGCTACCAGAGCCCTTTCCCAAGGAGCTCTGGTAGTGTAGTTGTTACAAATCGGGTTGCTAATCTCAAGGTCAGCAGTTCGAAACTACCAGTGGTTCCACAGGACAAAGATGAGGCTTTCTGCTCCCGTAAAGATTTACAGCCTTGGAAACCCTATGCAAGGTCACTATTAGTCAGAACCGACTCCATGGCACATAATCACCACCCCTTCCATTCTGCCCACACCAAACCCCCTCCAAAAGGCATTTTGTCAGAGCCCATTTCTATTTAAAGGTCTTTCTAGTCAGTAACAGTGGTATGGCAAAAGAGTTTCACTACTTGAGTTGTGCCACATGCCCATGGGCCCACCACATCTAAAAGATACAACTTAGATTAGAATCAGATGTGCAACTCATTTATTCTTGGGATCCATCATCAGAATGACGCCTTTTACAGACTGTAGCTAACCAGGCATCTCTCCCTTTGTCTGGAAGGAGAGAACTAGTTTGCTGAATTATTAGGTAGTAGGTAGTCCTTTCTCACTTGATTATTGGTGCTCTTTTTATCATTTTAAAAGGAGCTTATGCTTTTTGTTAATAAGTGATTCTTTGGATGAATTATTATTTTAAAATATGTTTATTTTGTTGTTGTTGAAGAGCTCTTAACTATTGTTAGCTTCAAAATAATAGGGAATTAGATTTCCTAAGAACCCTGGTATGGCTATGTAGGATAAACACTAGACTGATAATCACAAGGTTGGCATTGCCAACCCACCAGCTGCTCTCAGAAACGCTATCCAGGGTTGCTATGAGTTGAAACTGACTGGATAACACACAACAACAACAAAAGCACTAAGAATGCTTTAGAGAGTTAGCAGTTGTTGCAATAATTCATGAATAACATGCACATAACATTGTTAGAAAATTTGCCTTACTCATATATTATCCTGTACTTCCTAATAGGTAAGCTTCGTCTCTCATACTTTGGAAATATTGTCCAGAGAGAACAGTCGCTGGAGAAGGATGTCATGCTGGGTAAGGTGAAGGGTCAGAGAAAAACAGGAAGACCCCCAACGAGATGGATCAGCCAGGTGACATCATTGATGGCGTCAAGTGTGGCAGCGGTGGTGAGGTTGGCCCAGGATCGGACATTGTTTCGTTCTGCTGTGCATGGGGTTGCTATGAGTCGGTTCCGACTCGATGGCACCTGACAACAACAACAACAACAACTTCCTAATAGCACATATCATTATTATAACTAATTAATGAATTATATAGTTAGCAATTCAATGTATATCTTCCCTGTTACAATGTAAACTTCATAATATTAAGGAATGCATTGGTTGTAAACTATTCTATTCCTATAGCCGATCATAACGTCTTTCCCAAAAGATGTTTATTGAAAAAATTAATTAGTATTCACTTGTTCAGTACAGAACAATGCCATTTATATGCCTAGAAATCTGTCTGTCTGTTCCTGAGCTTAGCTATAAATTCAACTCCTATGTAATATCCCAGCTTAAACAGTCTTCCAGTCTCGACCCATTATCCAATTACAAATTTTTTAGGTAAGGCATGCCTTCCTGCTTCACTTTATTGAATTTCAAATTGAAGGTTTGGGTCAAGCATCCTTTGGCGTCATTTCTTCCAACAGCATGTGCTCTCTGTGTCATATTTTAGCAATTATTACAATATTGCAAATGTTTTTATAATGCTATTGCATATTGCATACTAAATAGACTACCCAAGCCCATTGCCATTGAGTTGATTCTGGTTCACAGTGATCCCACAGGACAGAGTTGGATGCCCTGTAGTCCTTCCAGGGATGTAGGTCATTATGGAAGCACACTACCTCATCCTTCTCCCATGAGTGGTTGGGAGATTAGAACTGGCACTGTAGGATAAGCACTGGACTTCTAACCACAAGGTCAGTGGTTCAAACCCACCAATTGCTCCTTGGAAACCCCATATAGGATCACTATTAGTTGTAACCGACTCGACAGCACTTAATAACAACAATGCATATAAAAGTTATGTTTACAATGGTTGTTAAGTGCTGTTGAATTGGTTCTGACTCATAGTGACTTTGTATAGGGTTTCCAGGGAGCAGTAGTGGGTTTGAACCACCAACTTGGCAGTTCAAACTGACCTTGCAGTCCAGTACTTATCCTACAGCACCATACCACTGGGAAACAAAAAAATCATGTGATTAACTTTATTGTGATATTTGTTTTATTGCAGTGGTCTGGAACCAAATCTGCAATATCTCTGAGGTATGTCTGCATTTGTTAGGACAGCACCCACTTCTAGGTACCAAAATCTGTATTGGTTTACTATGGCTGTTGTAACAAATGACCATAAATAGGGTGGCTTAAAATAACAGAAATTTATTATCTCACAGTTCTGGGAGCCAGAAGTCAAAATCATGGCATTGGCAGAACTACCCTTCCTCGGGAGGTTTCAGCTTCTGGTGGCTTCCACGTGTTACTTGGTTTGTAGCTACATCAGTGACATTTGACCTTTTCTTTCTATTCCTACCTATGAAACCTATTGCCTTCCCTGCCATATCTGTTTCTTCTTTCTACAAGACTCTTTCTCGAACATGATCTATCCTACCTATATTGTTAAGTGCCGTTGAGTCAGTTCTGACTAATAGCAATCCCGTATAGGGTTTCTGAGGAGTGACTGGTGGGTTTGAACTGCTTATTGTGTGGTTACCTGTCCAGTGCTGATTCTACAGAGCTACACCGGGATTCTGACCTTTCTATGTGCCTTGAACTCTGCTGCTTTACCTGGACCTTGGCCCCTCTTTCCTCTTCCTTCAAGTATTACAGTAAATCCATAGTCTTCTGAATTAATTCTGCTCCAGTAAAACTCTTTGGTAAGGTATCCAGACTACCTTACTACCTTTACTTTTTTTTTCTATGCTCCGATCTGTTGTCCATCTCCTCCCACTCACATGAATGAATATTTGTAAAGTGCTCAGACTAGTGCCTGGCATGTACTGATATATGAACATTTGTTAAGTAAATAAAAAAGAAATCTTAGCACTTTGATCTACTCATTGCACTTGAATTCAATCCATCTAGAAAGACCTTCCCTTCCTGCTGCCTTCTCATTTCTGTATTCTTTCATTATTGAAAGGCATCTGGAAACAAGGCATTTTCCAATGTTGGTGACATGTTTTTCCTTGATATTTCCAGGAAAACCCATTAAGTCTGGATATGCAGCTTGCCCTTTTAACTTTCACCATTGAATTCCATTCCAGACATAGAATATAATTCTATTTGGTTTTTAGAGATTATAGATATCAGATGCATCAACTATGCATTAAATAGGGATCAACTTTTTTTTTTTTTTTTTTCCCCTGAGCACTTTTTACCTTCTCAGGTATGCTGTCTTTGTCAAGGTTTATCAGTTTTTTAAGGAAGCCTGTTTCTGAAAGAAGTAATTTTGCTGTGGTCCAGTTAGGTTTCTTTTGCAGAAGAATACAAACCGCATTCATGACAGTCAGTACAAGGAAGGGAGGTCTTGTATATACTCTGTAATAGATAATAAAACATCTAATTAACTTCACAGTTGAAATCAAATGCACCTTGTAAAATACCTCAGAAGACAATATACACATTGTTTGGGCAAGCATTTTGAGAAGGAGAACTATTTGTCAACATATAGCTAAGTTGCTATTTGTCTATCTTTAAAATTTTGAATGTCTTTAATATATGGGTAGTTTTGCTTTAGGAGGAGTCCTGTTGGGCTGTAGGATAAGCATTAGACTGCTGACCACAAAATCAGAGGTTCAAACCTAAAAGTCATGCCTTGGAAACCCTATACAGGGTTGCTATGAATCCGAACAGAAGGAAGATGAACTGTATAAATTCTATGTAGAATGCTTGAGTTAGAGATGAATTATTTTCCCAAGAAAGAACTTACTACAGAGATAAAGTAGTAATGTCCCTGTTTCATTCCAGGGCTGATTTGCTGAGGAGTACTTGACAGAGACACTGTGTGTGTGTGTGTGTGTGTGTGTGTATGTGTGTGTGGTAGTGGGATGTTATCTCTATTCTTGCAATTAAAGGGGTATGTAAGGTCCGACCCCCCTTAAATGTATATCTGACTTCTCTTCATCCTGACCTGAAATTTCCACCATAAATATCACAGTCCCGTAGGGGGATGGGAGAGAAAGGGTAGATGGGAATTTTGTCTCTCAAATAATCAGTAATGCATTTATTATTGGGCCACTGGAAGCTGATTCCTGGGCTCAAGAGGTTATACAGCCAGCCAGTGGGTACATAGCAGCACTAGGATTCCAACCCAGGAAGTACTACAGTTCATGTGCTTAACCACTGAGATATAATGCCGCTTGGAAATTAGGCTAAAGGGATTTGAGCTGATGGCTCCCTTCTAGAAATATCTGCCAGAGAAAAACCAAGAGTACAGTACTTTCTAGAACAAAGTTGCATGCATCTCCTCCTCCCCAACATCTTGTCCAAAGGACCAGCCCTGCTACCTCTGATGCCATCTCTTGACCTATCCCCTGGTTCTCTGAGCTTCCTCCATCCTGGTCTTTGGTAGTTCCTGAGATCCATCAGACAGTTTTCTGCCTTAAGATTCTTATACTTTTCATTTTGTCTGCCTGGAACACTCCTCTAGATATTGTCCTAGCTTATTTCCATATTTCTTTTAGTTCTCTGCTCCAGTATCACCTCAGCAGAGAGACCTCATTCAAACATAGGCAAGCAGGGCCTTTGTCTGTTTCCTTTACTTCTATAACCACTGTGCCTAGAAAGGAGCCTGGTACTTAGTGTGCGCTCAATATATTTGCTAAACAAATGAATACTTGTACATGACAATAAATGTATATGAATGAGGTGAAAAAGAGGGGGGAAAACAGTCCAGAAATAACTTGCCTCCTCTGTGTATTTGACTTTCAACTTTAGGTGGATTAATTTCAGCATTTTGACATGCTCTGCTCTTCATTCTAAAATACATCCCCCTCCCCAATAAAACCTCACAACCTTTCTGTTTTTTCCTTATCCCAAGAGTTAAAATGTGTTAGCAATATCATAATAGATTTGTTCTATATTGCCCATCTTTAGTTGAAATACCACTTCTATAAAATAATGGTGCAATTCAAAGTTGTAATAGGTGAATTCTCATTGTTTGTTGGAGGGCTCAAGATAACAATATTCCACTCAGAGATTTAAATGATAATGAACAAGTGCAGATGTCTGCACCCTAACATATGTTGTTTGTTCCTTTATTTTCTTACAAGTTTTTCTTTAGTTGTTTTCCCTATGCTAGGAAGACTGTGTTTAAAAAGGGTATCTTTGGGTAATGTTACAGTATTCAACACCCATTATCAAGTCACCCAGACCCACTGCAGTGGAGTGCATTCCGACTCATAGAGAAGCTATAGAACAGCGTAGAAACTGCCTCATAGGGCTTCCAAGGCTGTAATCTTTCCTGAAGCGAACTGCCACATCTTTCTCACATAAAGCAGCTGGTAGGTTTGAACCACAGAACCTTTCAATTAGCAGCCAAGTGCTTTACACCTGTATTACCAGGGCTCCCTTACTGTATTCCTATAGATCTCAAATACTCTACAGCTGGACTCCCAGTGTGAGTGAAATGGTATCTCATTGTGGTTGTAATTTGCATCTAATGGTGGAAGGAGCCCTGGTCTCAAGGTCAGCAGTTCGAATTCACCAGCTTCTCTGAGGGAGAAAAATGAGTCTTTTTGTTCCCATAAAGATGTACAGCCTTGGAAACCCTATATAGGGTCCCAGAGAGTAGGCACCCCACTTGACAGCTCACCACCACCAATGGCTAATGGTTAATATAAGGAGTCTGAGTGTGGTGCTGTAGGATAAGCACTGGACTGCTAACCACAAGGTCGATGGTTCAAACCCACCAGCCACTCCCCAGTAACCCTATACAGGGTCCCTTTGAGCCAGCACCAACTAGATGACACTTCACAACAACAATGGCTAATGACTTTGAGTATCTTTTCCTGTGTTTGGTGGTCATTTAAATGTCTTCTTCGATGAAATGCCTATTCAAGTCTTTTACCTATTTTATGATTGGGTTGTCTTTTTGCTGTTTAGTTATTGAAGTTTTATATATATTTTGGCTATTAGAATCTTATCAGATATATGGCTTCTGAAGATATTTTCCAAATAGCCAGTTGTTGTTGTTGTTAAGTGCTCTGAGGCAGTCCTGACCCATAGTGACCCTGTATGGGTTTCCAAGGAGCAGCTGGTGAATTTGAACCTCTGACCTTGCAGTTCAAACCAACCTTGCAGTCCAGTTTAACATTTTTGGTAAAATTTTTTGATGAACAAAAGCTCTTAATTTTTAGGAGATCCCATTTATCTGTTTTGTCTTTTGCTCTTTGTGCTTTTGTTATTTTATTAGATAATCCATTGTTGAAAATTGGGCCTAACAGCATTGCCCTGATTGTCCTGGCATTTTCTTCTAAGGATTTTATGGATTTAGTTTACACATTTAGGTTCTTAATCCATTTTTAATTAATTTTTATTTTTTTGGTACATGGAGCTTGTTATTTTTCTATATGTGGAAATCCAAATTTCCTAATACCACTTATTGAAGACAGTCTTCTTTTCCCACTGAGTGGACTAAACACTCTTGAGAGGTGCTTTGATAGTCACCATGGTTGACAAATTATCCTTCTAGTCTAACTTACAATGTAGTTTATCAATTCTAAGATGCACAGTTTTACATCTTTAAGATTCAGATTCAGTTTATAAGCAATCAACCAAACTGCCACATCACAGTTTAATTAGAAGTATTTTTAAAGGATACACAAAGTATTTGTATGCCTTATGCATTATAATTAATTGCATCATAGTATTGATATGTTTGCCACAAATAATGAAAACTGTCAAGTATTTTAGATGGGTAGAAGGAACCCTTATGGCTCAGTGGTAAACTGCTTGGTTGCTAATCTAAAGGTCAGTGGTTTGAACCCATCAGCCACTTCATGGGAGAAAGATTTGGCAGTTTGCGTCTATAAAGATTTATAGCCTTGGGAATTCTGTAAGTTGGGGCTGTCTTTTTTAGTTTTTATATGGGTAAGTCTGCATAGGCCAGGAATCGAACTGGGGCCTCCCATGTGGCAGGTGAGAATTCTACCACTGAACCACCAATATATCCAACCTGAATTTAGAGATCATCTGAAGAACAGATTTGATATATTAAACACTAAAGAGCGAAGACCAGAAGACTTGTGGGATGACATCCAGAACATCATACATGAATAAAGCAAAAATTCATTAAGAAGACAAGAAAGAAGAAAAAGGTCAAAATGGATGCCAGAAGAGACACTGAAACTTGGTCTCCAGCATAAAGATGCTAAAGCAAATGGAAGAAATGAGGAGGTCCGAGAGCTGAACAGAAAATTTCAAAGATCAGCTCGAGAAGATAAAGCCAAATATTACAACAAAATGTGCAAAGATCTGGAGTCAGAAAACCAAAAAATAAAAACAAGTTCAGCATTTCTCAAGCTGGGGGAACTGAACGAAAAATTTAAGCCTCAACTTTCGTTATTAAAGGATTCTCTGGACAAATTACTGAATGACGCAGAAAGCATCAAAAGAAGATGGAAGGAATACACGGAGCCACTGTACCAAAAGGAAATGGTTCATGTTCAACCATTTCAAGAGGTAGCATATGATCCAGAGCCACTGGAGGCACTCACTCATCTATGCCAAGAAATTTGAAAGACAACAACTATCTGGCCAACTGATTGGAAGAGATCCGTATTTGTGCCCATTCAAAAGAAAGGTGACGCAATGGCATGCAGAATCATCAGACAATAGCTTTGATATCCCATGTGAGTGAAGTTTTACTCAAGGCAATACAGAAACGGCTGCAAGCACACATTGACAGAGAACTTCCAGAGGTTCAATCTGGAATCCGAAGAGGACAAGGAACGAGGGATATCATTGCTGATGTCTGATGGATCTTGGCTGAAAGTAGAGAATACCAGAAAGATGTTTACCTGTGCTTTATTGACTACGCAAAGGTTTTCAATTGTGTGAATCATGACAATCTATGAACAACGTTACACAGTATGAGTATTCCTGAACACTTAATTGTGCTCATGAGGAATCTATACATGGACCAAGAGGCAGCTGTTCGAACAAAACATGGGAGCACTGAGTGGTTTAAAATTAAGAAAGGTGTGCGACAGGGTTGTATTCTTTCACCATGCTTATTTCAGCCTGTATGTTGAGCAAATAACCCGAGAAATTGAGTTATATGAGGAAAAACATGGCATCAGGATTGGATGAAGGCTCATTAACAACCTGCGATGCAGATGATACAAGCTTGCTTGCTGAAAGTGAAGAGGACTTAAAATATTTACTGATGAAGATCAAAGAGTATAGCCTTTGGTATGGATTGCATCTCAGTGTAAAGAAACCAAAAATCCTCACCACTGGACCAATAAAACAACATTCTTATCAATGGAGAAATGATTGAAGTTGTCAAGGACTTCATTCTTCTTGGATCAACTATCAACACTCACGGAAGTAGCAGTCAAGAGATCAGATGGCATATTGCCATTAGGAAAATCTGCTGCCTTTTGAAAAGTTTCAAAAAGAACTTTTGAAAATGTTGAAGAGTAAAGGTATTAGCTTGAGGACTAAGGTGCACTGGACCCAAGCTATGGTATTTTCAATAACCTCATATGCATGAGAAAGCTGGATAGCAAATAAGACCATAGAAGAATTGATGATTTTGAGTTATGGTGTTGGAGGAGAATATTGAAAGTGCCATGTGTTGTCAAAGGAACCAACAGATCCATGTTGGAAGAAATGCATCCACAGGGCTCCTCAAAGGCCAGGATGGCCAAACTTTGTCTCTTGTACTTTGGACATATTGTCAGGAGGGAGCAGTTGCTAAAGAAGGATATCATGTTTGGTATGGTAGAGGGTCAGAGAAAAAGAGGAAGGCCCCCAATGAGATGGATTGGCAAAGTGGCAGCATCAATGGGCTCAATCGTGGCAACAATTGTGAGGTTGGTCCAGGACCTGACAGTTTTCATTCTGTGGTACATAGGGTCGCTATGAGTTGGTACCAACTCGATGGCACCTAACAATAACAACAACAACATATGGGTAGTGGCGGAGGCGGTTGTGTGCTGTGGAGTCAGTTCTGAGTCATAGCGACCTTGTAGAGGGTTCCTGAGGCTGTAAATTTTTACGAGAGTAGAAAGTCTCATCTTTCTCCCACGGAACAGCTTTGTACTGCCAACCTTGGCAGTTAGCAGCATGACTCGTAATCATTATGTTACTATAGCTCATTTTTAGATGGATAGAAATGACTTAATCTAAAAATGGAGTACTTTATTTTATTTCACCATGTACTTAAATTATGGTCTGAGCTTTCCCAACTCCAAAGAAACCTAGATAAATTGCTTACCTTAATTCAGCAACATCGGCTTTGTCCAAAGCATTTAAAGCCACGATTGCCTTGTCAAAAGCTGGCAGAACACTTTTAATCTCATTGGTAGTTTTCTATAATAAAGAAACAAGTCCTCCAATACATAGGAATGAATGTAGTTGCATATTTAAACTTTTTTGATTTTGAATTTGGGAATATAATTTGACATTTGTACAATACTCTTAAGTTATATATCTTCACTTAGATGTGTGCACAAATGCTTATACTGTTAGAACTGATGAGAAGTTATTTGTGGGAAGCAAAAGCACTGTGCGGCTTCTGCCTTGTCTATTAGATTCTAAGTGGTATTAACATATCCATTTGAGAAGTGGTCCAGTTAAATGTGGAATTACTATGAACCTAAAGAAACCGAAGCTTTAGGCACTCTCACTTGCACAGGCCTTTCTAAGGCCCTGAAAGGAACTCTGGTAATATGTTTGCAGGTCATACACTTTTCTTAAACTTGCAAAAGCAAGATTTTAAAACTGCAATCAGTTAAGACCATTTTCTATTTACACTTTGTATAATGTAGTGAATTATTTAATGTCTCTCCTAGCTACAGGTTTTGAAAATCTCCACTATGTGCCTTTTCCTGATGGGGCTAGGTAGGAGAAGGTGGGGAAAGGATGTTGATGAATTATATGATTCCCTTATGAGTGACTGTTAACAGGGCTAATTGTGAAAGCGTAGAATTCTAACATGGATATAAAATGAGGCATCTCAGCAGCAGGAGGGAGATCAATACCATCAAAGAGGCAGAACCAAGGGTAAAGTGTGTCCTTTGGACCGCAAGATGACTGTGCTTTGAAACTCCTCAGCCCAGGGACAGAAAACTATGACATGAGGAAAGTCAGAGGAGTCAATTCTGGCAGCAGAATCAAGAGCCAGAGCATGAGACAGAGTGGTGGGGTTTCTGGCCTACCGAGCAAGTAAAGCTGAGCGCCTTTGGACAGGATGCTTGTTTGCAGAGTGGGGTGTCTCCAGCTATGTAACTTGGGAGCTAGGTTTGCTCACTCATGGAGCTAGAGCTGAGTGCCTGGGCTGAAGCTTTCAGAGGAGTGGAGTGTTCTTTGGGTATTTATTAGCAGCCCTAGAAGAGTTTTGTAACATTGGCTGGGAAGAGAGAGGCCTGCTTGTAGGCATGACTGAGGAGAGGCTGTCTGACGGGAACAACTGTTTATTCCAGTGTTTTTTACCCTCCATTGTAATCTGTTAAACTCCCAAATACACTCTATAACTGTGAGTATGGTGTCTGAGTTCTGTGTGGCATTGCAATGAATTCTTGAACCCAGATGAGAAATAGAATGTGCTGTGGGAGGAATGTCTGGTGTCATTTGTTTGCACCTTGACTTGCTCTCTGTCCTACTTCCTATCATGCCCGGTACAGTTGAAATGGCTGTAGATATTCTGGGGATCTGGTTAAGGAATAGAGTTGAAAATTACATGCTGCCCATAGTTAACTTCCTATATAATTAAGTTATTGTATGCTACTTGAAATAGGAATGACTTCCAGAAATATACCAATTGTTCACTGTTAGAACTTTCCTGGTGATGTGACATTAAGGTACATGAGCAGAAGCCATATTATATAACAAAAACTTGTCCTACAAGACCCAGCACCAAGGTTTGGAATGTATAGAATCTCAACTTCTCAGTGGAAAAAAAAATTCCATTTATTGGATATGTAAAATTGTAAGTAAAGGGCTAAATTCTCATTGACACCTATTCAAAATGGAAGTTCACTCCTTCAAGAATATACTTGATAATGCAGCATATACTCTAACAAACCCATTTTAAGGTTTTTCTTTTTTTCTTGAGATTTGTGTAAAATACAGTTCAGCAGAATTCTTGAGTTTGTAGGTAATCAATACTGCATTTGGAAAGATGTTTTGGAATGTTTCAGTGATATAATTTAGAAATGACAGATTCCTTGTATAGTCATTGTGAAATGTACCTTTTTGTGCTATCAACTTTGTCTATTTATAAATAATTAACCTGAAAAAAAAAAGTGAGAAATGTGAAATACAAGTGATTCAGTAATAAAATCAATAGAAATTATTCTGATGTTGAGAAGCAAATTATACCCCAAACAATAATATATTAAAAGAAAAAATAAATCTAGGATAGAATAACTGCTTAAGGATCCTTCAATAATGGAAAAAAATTGCAATCAGTGAAAAAATAATTTCTGATTTTGTAAGAAATATTGACATGAATGATAGCCTAAGAATCCTAAAACATTTTTATATTGAGAATATTGATGTAAATCTGGTTAATAAATGCCATCAGTTCAAGAAGTCTTTAAAAATAATCGCTGCATAAGAAATCATGATATGCCATTATTGCTTATGCCAAATTTCATAGGAACCCTAAAAATGGTCACAAGATTTTCAATGATTAGTTATGAAAATTGGAAAAAACTGGTAGCGTAGTGGTTACGAATCGGGCTGCGAACCTTAAGGTCAGCGGTTCGAAACTACCAGCCGCTCCGCGGGAGAAAGATGAGGCTTTCTACTCCCGTAAGGATTTACACCCTCGGAAACCCTGTACAGGGTCGCTATGGGTCGGAACTGACTCGACGGCACTTAACAACAACAACAACATCAATAATAATACATTTTGATTATCCATGATAAAGATACTAAAGGAAATGATATAAGAAAATCATTATCATATAAAATGTCACCACAGAATATGTGGTGAAGGCATATAGAAGAATTGAGCCAATAGGAGTATGTAAGGCAGTTAATTACTGATGTGGTGCTGTAGGATGAGCACTGGACTGCTAATCTCAAGGTAGGTGGTTCAAACCCACTAGCTGCTCCTTGGAAACCCTATACGTACGGGGTTGCTATGACTCAGAATTGACTCAACAGCACTTAACATTATGCTATTTTTTTCTGGATTTTGGGATGTGATCATTGTTGACTTAAAGTTTGTATTTTGTGTGTGTGTGTGTGTGTTTTACTTATTTTAAATACATAGTCATATCTAATTTTATATTAGTAATTTTTATGGTTTGAAATGCACCCCTACCCCTACCCCCCACCCAAATGTACTGAATTCCTGGCCATAAGTCATTGTGGTTTAACTGTGGGGTTGAATTAGTTGGCCAAGGGCAGAGTAGAATCTACAAGCCCAGGAACTCCAAGACTTGCCAGCAACTGCTGTCAAGGACTTCATTCTTCTTGGATCAACTATTAATACTCATGGAAGCAGCAGTCAAGAAATCAGATGATGTATTGCACTTACACAGATCTGCTGAACAAGACCTTTTTAAAGTGTTGAAGAGCAAAGATGTCAGCTTGAGGGCTAAGATGTGCCTGACCCAAGCCATGGTATTTTCAATAACCTCATATGCATGCAAAAACTGGACAGTGAATAAGGAAGACTGTAGAAGAATTGATGCTTTTGAGTTATGGTGTTGGAGGAGAATATTGAAAGTGCCATGGGCTGCCAAAAGAGCAAACAGATCTTTGTTGGAAGAAGTGCACCCAGAGTGCTCCTTGGAGGCCAGAATGGCCAAAGTTCGTCTCTCATACTTCAGACATGTAGTCAGTATGGACAAGTCGCTGGAGAAGGATACATTTCTGTTCTTTAAAGTTGCCCATTTGTGGTATTTATGATATAGTAGCACTAGGTAACTAAGATGTTATTAAACACCCTCAAGTTGGTTCTGATTTATAGCCACCCTCTGTAGGGTTATAGAGGAGCAGCTGGTGGGTTTGAACTGCTGACCCTGTAATCTGTTGTTCAGTCTGATCCTACAGCATCACACCAGGTGTCAAACAACTAAGATAGTAGTAGTTTTGCATTCTTTTTGAAAGTCCGGCTTCAAAATTGTAGAGCAGCACCTGAGAAAGCAGGAAGCTGTATAAGGTGGAAATCTGTCAGCAATAGAAAACACAAATATTTTCCACTATTAAGTGCCATTGAGTCAGTTCTGATCCACAGTGACACTGTACAGAGTTTTCTAGGAGCAGCTGGTGAGCTTGAATCACGGACCTTGTGGTTCAAACTGACTTTGCAGTCCAGCCATTAACCCACAGCATCATTAGAGAATGGCAGAGCAGTGGTAAGCCTGCACCCTATCAAAGGCAGAAAATTTGTGAGACCTGGAAAACCAAGGCAATAAGCTCTGGCTCTCTCTGGATTTACTGTCTGAGTGCCAGGATCTATAAAACCTGGATTTGCCTCTGTAGCCAGAGAGAATAAAGGTAGGACAAGAATAACAGTAATTTCTCCATAGCCGTTTTTCTTGGGATTAAAAAAATGAGAGACTGATATTAAGGTGCATCAATTGATACTTAATATATTGAATAGTAAGGGCACCTCATTTTGGTTGGCACCACAGAGATTTAGGATTACTCACAGTGGGATTCATGAGGCATCTTGAGGGAAGAAAGGAAGCTCGGCCACTTGGAGAGGTCAGCAGTGACACCTTCTTCTATTTCTTAATGTTCAATACATTAAGTTTATTTGCCTATTATATTGTCTAGATTTCTGAAAGAAACCTTAGATTGAAGATAATTCTAATAATAGAATACAAATGAATAATAAAAAAGGTAGTCTGAAACGTCTTTGACTTCTGGTATGAACTCTTCTTCAGTCAAGTTATAACGTAAAAACAATGATAATCCAGTCAGATGTCACAAGAAGCTAGCAAAAATATTTTGAAATGATCAAGAAGTCTATTTGAAGCATACATTCATGTTCACTATTGTTCATAATGAATCTTATTCATAATGAATCATGAGTGTTTTTAATGTCTTGATGTAACAGTAATGCATGTATATAATTTGTAAACACATAATTACACATATGGTGGGAGTAGTTACATAGTTGTGACTCCAAGTCATGGTGACTTTATGTACAACAGAACACAATATTACCTGGTCTTGTGTCATGCTCATAATTGCCCATATTTGAGCTCATAATTACAGTTCTTGTGACAGTCCCTCTCACTGACAATCCACTTTGTTGGCCCTCTACTTCACCAAGCAATTGACACCTCCTTATGACGTATCCAAAGCAAATGTGTCAGATAATGTTCTGTCGTGAACCATAAGGTTTC